AGGTGATATCTTTGTTTTTTTTCCTTTTTTTAACATTTTAAAGATGTCTTGGAGTCCTGGTGGCACAGTGGATTAGGTGTTGGGCTGCTATTTTAAGGTCAGCCATTCGAGTCCAGCAACCTCTCCACTGGAGAAAGATGAGGCTTTCTGCTCCCATAAAGACTCACAGCCTTGAAAACCATCAGTGACAGTTTCTACTCTGTCTTGCAGGGTCACTATGAGTCAGAAGCAACTTGATGGCAATGAATTTGTACAGCAGTGTTGCCCAAGACAAAATGTCTTTTGGTTTCTTGACTGCTGCTTCTACGAAAATTGATTATAGTTCCACGCAAAATTAAATCCCTGAGAATTTTAATCTTTTCTCAACTTTATCATTATATTGTTTTTGTCCAGTTGTGAGGATTTCCGCTTTAAGATGTAATCTACACTGAAAACTCTAGTCTTTGATATTCATCAATGATGTTTCAAGACCTTTTTGCTTTTGGCAAGCAAGGTTGTCATCTGCATATAGCGGGTTGTCAACAGATCTTCCAATCCTGATGGCACATTCTTCTTCATTAAATCCACGTTCCCAGATTATTTGCTCAGCATTCAGATTATATGATACTGACACACACTTTTCCTGATCGTAAACCACATGGCAGTCCTTTGTTCTGATTGAACATCTGCCTCTTGGTCTAGGCGCAGGTTTTGCCAGAGCACAATGAAGTATCTTATATTTCCCACTCTTTGAAATATTACTAACCTGCTATGATTTCCACTGCTGAATGCATAGTCAATAAAACACAGGTAAACCTCTTTCTGATATTTAGCTTCAGCCAATATCTGAGAACAAATTATATCTCTAGTTTCATGACCTTTTCTGAATTTGGCTTGAATTTTTTGGCAACTCCTTTAAAATGTACTGCTGCCACCGTTTAAAAATTATCTTCAACTACTTGCATGTCATAGTCATATGTTCAATGGGTTCTTCATTCTATTGGCTCATTTTCTTTGCAATAGCAGGTCATGTAGCTATTTTCCAAATTCTTGACATAGACGAATTTGTATTTCCCGTGCTGGCACATCTCACCTGGTATTTCATCAGTTCCTGGAGCCTTGATCTTCATCAAAGTTTTCAGTGCGGCTTGTTCTTTCTTGATCATATATTACCCCCACAGATGGTTGAATTTCAACAAATTCCTTCTGGCTGTCATTATTCTTTTCATTCTATTTTGATGCTTCCTGGATTGTTCAATATTTTCTCTGTAGTCTTTCATTATTGCAATCAAGGCTTGAGATTTTTTATTTCATCAGCCCGAGAAATGTCATGCATGTTATTCCCTTCTGGTTTACCAAGGCCAAGTCTTTGCACCATTCATTGTAATACTTTACTCTCCACACAGCATGCATATATGTATGTATGTTTTGTTCTGTATATATAACAACCAAATTTCTGTTTAAGAACCCATTGATGTCTCAGATTAGAAACTCTTTTTCTTCATATTCTAATTATGATTTTTGTTTGCATAAACATTACATGATGTTTTCAATAGCATATTATGCACGCAAAATCTGGACCCAGGACACAAGAAAAATTGATGCCTTTAACTTGTTTGTAAAGAATATCGAGTATACTATAGACTACCAAGAGAACAAGAATGCTCCTTAGAAATGAGGATTGTGAAGTTTCATGACATGTACTTTGGACATGCTACCAGGAGAAACCTGTCCTTGGAAATGAAATGCATGCTTGGTAGTCAGTGAAAGAGGAAGGCACTCAACGAGATGGCTTGACACAATGAACAGAATAGTTATGAGATCGGCAGAGGGCATTACATGTATGCGTGTGTGAACATTACATGTGTGCGTCTGTGTGTCTTACACACACACACACACACACACACACACACACACAGTCTCCAATTAGAAATGTACCATGAGAGATGCTATTGTTAATAAAATCCCTCATCCATCCGAATTTTAACATTAAAGAGCTTTCAGATATTCTATCGGGGCCTTATGTTTTCCTCAATGGTTTAGAAGTCCCTCTGTTGGTCCTTCGGGACTTTACAGCAGTGTCCCTGGTGTTTGTTACCTCCTAGATGAGCATTTCAATTCACTTTGGAGGAAGCTGAACGTTCAGTAGTGTTCTATCTACCACATTTCCATTGATTTTTGGACAATTTATATTCTAGAAGCCACTTAAAGCTTATAGCTTACTTAAAGTAGATCCCAAGGTGGAGTTTTCCCTTTTAGTTTCAGAGAGATAATATTCTGCTTGAATAGACCAGCATTCTGAACAAATTCAAATCTCTCTCTTACCCCAAAGTCTCTCTAAACTGTGGGGATACATTTGAAATAACTTACAAGGAGAAATTATCAAGAAATACACATTTGTCTCCTATCTTCCCTTGAAAATGGTGTTTAATAAAATACCATATTGTCTCTACATTCAATAGGGATGTTTATTTGCTAAGATACTGAAACCAGTTACCAGATGATTGTGGAGTTTCTGGCTACATAAAAATATTTTGTAGGGTCAAAGTAACCTCTTATATTGGAGTCTAGGGCAGAATCTTGATTTTAGGCAATTTTTTTAAATGAAAAGAGAATGCCCAGAAGGCCAGAGAAATTAGGTATTAGTATACAATCATCACTCCTCTTTGAAAGGCAAATTTCAAAGGCATTCTTCCAAAACTAATAAGCTGTCATCTTGTATTTCTAGTTGAGCTACAGTCAGTAATTTCTCTCCTGCATATTAATTTTTATTTGGGGGGCTTAGTGAATTTTTTAGTTGCCAGGAGCTTTTGAATGTACACCATTTTCTGGAACCGAGCAGATTTGAGCATGAGCAGCTGTTTGTAGCTGATTCCAAATTTATTACGTGAGTGTCTGGAGCCCACGAGATTCTCAATAAGGTGAATATGGAATGAGTGCACCAGCATATCATTGTAGAGGGAAACATGGATTCATATTCATCAAAAGCCCTTCCCTGTCTCCAAAGACTAAATATTTTAAAAAAAAGTCTAAGCTGCAGAGTCAAGAATGCAAACACTTATATCCCAGAATACTTGGTTAAAACTCGTAACTTCTCAGCTCACTGGGTGTGGTGTCTTTGGTCCAAATACTTCCGATAGGTCCCGATTGTAGTGCATAAGAAGGGAGTCCACTCTTTTAACTTCAGGATAGCCCCTTAAGGACTGACTGTATATAACAAGGGGACCCTCAATTATGAAAGCATACCTGCTTTTCAAGTTCTGCTAGGACATCTGCTCTGAAGGACAGAGTGGGTTGGCACATCACCATGTATGTGGCTCTAACAGGGTGCTCATCCGGCTATAAAGTATGACCTTTAAATATGGGTTTTTAGAGAAACACATTCTAGTTGTCACACAGCCCTATGGAGTTGGCTTCTATGGAATCAAATAAAGCAAGCATGCCTTTTTATTTCCATCCAGAGAGTGAGCAAGGACTTATATGGTTCTTTGCCACATGACTTCTGGTGGTGGTGGTGTGTTTGTGCAAGCATGTGTATAAAAATGACATCATGTCATACCACAAAGAATCCTCCACAGAAGCAGAATCAGGCACATCACTGGGTAAAGAACTATTTAAGTGTGCAAGAGTAAGTTTGCAAGCTCCTCCACACTTTAATAATAATATTAATATTAATCTTCTTAGAAAAAGAGGACATCCTTGTATCTGAATCCTTAGTAATGAATGCTACAAATGTTCTAATAATAGAGATACCAAATGGGAGCTGAAGATGTCCAAGATGAGAATACTTTACGAGGAAATCAATTAACAAGGAACTTTAAGTGCCAGGTTTTCTTTGTCAAATCAACAGGGAATTAAATGGAAGAGTGAGCTGCTGAAGCCAGATTCTGTATCTGTTGACAAATCAGTTACTTTCTCATTAGCTGCAGTTTGTTCATCTGTAAAACAGAATACTAATTGTTACTTGTCAAGGGTGCTAATAAGGAATAAGTAAGGGAACCAGTTTTACATAAAATACAGTGGGAAGTAGATCTAGTGTTTAAAGGAAAACTAAAATGATGTCAGTCCTTCCTTCCCTTTCTCTTACTTGGACTGTATGATATTCAATTTAGAGAAAAACATGATAGAAAATCATGCTTAGACATTTGCTTTGAATATAATCTATGTATGCCAATGAATATATGAAAAAAACTCCACCACCAAGTACCACCAAAACACTTAGCAGGAAATAACCATTGTCATTGAATCCATTCTGACTCATGAGGATCCCATGTGTTAAGAATTGAACTGAACACCCCAAGGTTTTCTTGGCTGCATTCTTTATAGAAGCATATCCCCAGCTCTCTCTTGCAGGGCACTGCTAGATGGGTTAGAAACCCCAACCTCTCACTTAGCAGCTTCTTGAAAAGTTATCTGTGCCACCCAGGGTCCTGACAATGAATAGATAAATAAGCTTGTAATTTGGGAGTGATGGCATGTACATCAAGGGCAGAAAATAATGTGCAAACAATAATTGTTGTAATTAAAAAAACTTTATTTCACTCCTACTTTAATCAAATCTTTATGAGCACCATGTCATGTACTGGCAATCTAGAAAGAGGGTACTGGAATGCTTTAGTCAATAACAGACTGCAAGCTGATATTATGAAGTTACAGCTACACGGACCATGTGAACAAGACCACGTTAGAATCCCGTGATGGTGCACAAAAACAGGAATCCGGCATTGATTCATTCACACTTCTGAGGGTCAGAACCCAAAGCTTGTGCATGTGAATTCCAAATGAAGCATTTGATCACCTTGACAGTTTACAGTTTGCTAAAACTTGACCGTGAAAGCCTAAATGTCGCCACTGTGTTTTCTTGACCAGCTGTTGGCTGAAAAGATGGATTCCTTTAAAATTTCCATTGATCCTTAAAGGCTGAACATTGTGTAATTCAGTTATCAGCAAGGCTTTTGAAGGTGTGCATTTCTCCTATGTCATCACCAAACGATTATTTACCTAATGAAAGAGTGAAAATCTAGACATGTTCAACAGATGTTTTAATTTGGTCCTCTATTAAAAGAACCAATTGCCGAGATGTTTTTACAGAAACTTAGGTCACAAGCAGATACACAAGAGGGTCATTATAAAGAACATTGCATTCTGGTTTATGAGTAAAAAGTCTGCCCTCTACTTACACTAAAACATACCAAAAAATAATCTACAAAAATCATTTGCCATTGATTTTAGTGAGAGAAAACATTTTCTTAAGGAGGGGATGACTGTATGGTGGTAGTTTATTAACCATCAGAAAGGAATGCGAGTAACCAATAAATATAATGTGCGTTCTCCGTATAGACATATTTACACTTGAGTCTTTGGCTTATATGTTGTTTTCTAAAAAGAACTTTAAATGATCCAGCCATCATTGCACACTAAAAGAAAATAAGCCAGTTATATATATTTATATATTTATAGAGATCTGCTACACATGAAACATTTAAAAAAAAGAAATTTACTATGAATCTGCACAGCTTCTCTTCTCCCTTTAAAATTTAACATTTTTTTATATAAAAAAGGGAGAAAATGGCCACATCTGAAGTATTAGTTCATGCATCATGTGGTGGTTGCTTTACTGAATGAAAACAGGAGAGAAAGGGTGCGTATTCACCGTACAAACACTGATAAGTTCTAATTTGACCACGCCTTTTGAAATCTGGTTCTTATTAAATATAATGTATGTGGCACAAATGTTGATGCTGTAATACAGTAATAGAAACTAATTCAGTTCTTTTTATTAAGGTACACAACTTCATAAGAAAAATACTTTCACTTCTTGAATGTAAAAGTCCCCCACCCCCCACATTAAAATCCTTCTGCACAGGTGTGACAGGTGCAACAACTGCTGGCTCGACGATGGAGAGAGGTCTGTTTGGATGCACTTTTAAAAGGCTCACCCAACTAAGACGATTCCAGGTATTCCAGCGCTACATCATAGCAAAAGCGGTACTGCTCCTGAAAGACGGTAACACAAAAGAGTTGAGAAAAGTTAGAAAGGAAAAAAAAAAGCTAATGGTAAATAACAGGCTATTAACTGAACATGCCACAAGTTAGATTATTCATGAAATACATTATGTTTTCTTTGCACAAGTATAATATCGAGGCGTGTGTTAGTTGACCTTGCAGTCTGAATAATCCCATTTTAAGAAACTTGCAGTACAAAGATGTTGTCTTTGACAGATGTTTTTCATATTCAATTTTTTTTAATCTCCAAAAATCTTCTAATAGCAATGCCTGATCACTATAGCAACATTTCCCGGCATAGAAAAGTATAAAAATTGAGAAAAGTATTTCTGTATGTAATTCAATTTTCAGGAGAGATTGCTGTTAAAATGTTGATGTATTTTACCTCTGTACTTTTTTTTTTAATGCAAAGCTGACATAAGTTTTTCAGAGTAGATGTAATTATATGCACTTCAGTATATAAATTTACATGTCACTTTTCTTTGCATAACATTTCGATTTTTTCCCCTGGCTTTTAAACGTTTTTTTAACATAATTTTAATACAAAAAAATATTAACATATGGATTGACTGTCAGGTTGCTTTTATTTGTTTATTTTGTCTCTATTATAAATAATGCTGCAAAGAATATGTGCAAACATTCTTCTCCAGATTTAAGATGCTTCCATTAGGCTTGAAAAAAAAAGATGTCATTTTTACCTGTTATTTCTAAACTTCTACCTCATAATTTTATTTCATAGTTTTTGATTCATTGAAGTATTTAAGTAAGTTCTTTAAGAATGAATGATGGCTCTTACACTGTATGAACCTTTTTTCTATCTTGAACATTTCTATCTGCTGCTTTTGTAAATTCATGGCCACTTAGTTGGCAATAAAAATGTTGTACTGCAACCACTTGCCTTCTCAGCCCATCTTTGTGTGACTCCATTATAAAGAATGTACAGAATTCAGAAACTGCATTCCAAATGACTTCCACTAAGTAACTCATGAAAAATTCTCCCAACAAGGTGGGTGCAAATCATGCTGAATTGGAGGACAATGTAAAAGGCAGGTTATTTTAAAAAGAGGACTTCCAGGTGCCTCCAGCAATAAACCAGGGAAATAAAACTTTCCAAGAAGAATTTATTAGTCATACCCTAATTATCCAGTAGATGTGATTTAAATTAGTCTACCACTGTGGTACATGCATTTGAAGAACCAAAAATTGCTTGAAACAGTTGTCACATTTAAATAAGTCTCTAGGAATTTTGTTTATACAGTAAAATTTCTTAGCAAACTTGTCAGCTCTACTCAACAGCAAATGAGCTGATCATTAACCCTGGCTAAATACAAATTAAAGGGTGGTGTGTTTAGTCAGAATCCACAGGACTTAAATTTAAAGGAAAATAGTAGTTATCTGGAAGGTGCTAGAATGGCAGGGTTTAACTCCCCTCCTCTCCACCCCCAGTTAAGAAGGAGAACGGAGGTTAGAGTTGATTCCTAAGGCTAGGATGGAATGGTCCCACTGATAGGTTTAAGAAGGCTGGATCTGAGAGGGAGTGGCAAATTTTACAGTAAAAATTCTTAAAACAGTGAAGAACTTGAAAACATTACGACAAACCATTCAATCTGTAAGAAAGACCTGAGAATTCTCCCTTTTAAAATCTTCAAATCCAACTCCCCTTTTCCATTTCCATTGGCAGCACCTCAGCTGAAAGCATCCAATCCCACGTTGGGATTGCCCTAAACTACAGGAGGGTGGTGTGGTCCATGGGGCTCTGCTGTCATGCCTCGGAGTGAAACCGTGTTGGCCGAACTCTTCCCATGTTGCCTCCGGAAGCGATGCACCTCTCCTGTGAGCAATCCATGTGCCGGAAGCGGGGACACTGTTTCACGGTTCATTGAATTGCTCATGCTAGTTATCTGATCATCTTGATAAGTGCAGGGCGAGCAACAGCGATGCCTTGGTTTCCTGGCTCACCTCTGTGACTATGTGAGTGCACTGCTGCTCCAGAGCTGATCCCACCACACATGCTTTCAAACCTCAGACATGACTTGCTTTAGAAGTAAAATGTGGTAGAGAAGTTTAACTCTTTCTCTGTGTAAAGCATTCTCACCCCAAGGACACCCCGCATACGCATACCTCAAAAAGAACTTACTGCTCTTGAATTGATTCTGACTCATAGCTATGTGAAAGGGCAGGGTAGAACTGCCCCATGGGGTTTCCCAGACTGTAACTCTTTACCGGTGTAGAAAAAAGCCTCATCTTTTTCTTTGGAGTGGCTGGTGGTTTCGAACTGCTGACCTTGTGAATAGCAATCCTATCTTGCCACCAGGCCTCCCGTACTCATTCATGCCTACTATTACTGTATATACTCGAGGGTAAGCCGAGTTTTTCAGCACATTTTTAATGCAGTTTCTCTGGTCAAATTAGGTGTCTCAGCAGATATTCGGGTCGGCTTATACTTGAGTATATACGGTACTCCTATTTTAAGCAAGCGTGGGCTGTTTGCACTGATTTTATGAGACTTAGAAAAATTGAGAAGGAAGTAAGAATTTTAGAAAGCATTGGGCAAATAAGTGTGTGTGTGTGTGTGTGCACAAGTATAAAGAATATTTCAAGAGATAGCAATAGGGCTCAGGTGCTGAATTTAGGCAGTTTCCTAAAACTTTATAACTAAATAAACAATTCACTCTTCTAATTTAACCCCAGCATTGCCCCATTATTCTCTAGTGTACATAGAGTATCATTTGGTTTCCTTTCTGCAAAATATAATACTCATTGACTTGAATCTAATAAGAAAAGTTTCCCAAACTTTAATACTTTTAAAAACTCATTCAATTCAAGCAAAATATCCTGACATGTCATAATTAGACACTATACTTAGATAATGAGATAAAAAATTCAAGTCTCTCCCTCAGTGTCCTGCTATATATATATCAGAAGTAAAAAGAAAGCTATTTGAAAAAGAGAACATTGGAAATACCCATTAGCAAATGCCACTAGCAAAGTGAGCAAGCTACTGTATCTAACGTGCTAGAGATATCATGGTAATGGGAGAGAGAGAGAGAGAGAGAAGAGTGGAGTTTGTGGTTACTAATAAAATTTGTACATACCCTATACAAAATTACTAAACCATAAAAACATGTTCAATACGAATAAGCACATGCTTCTTATCTCATTTTACTGTGAACCAGCTATCTGATAAGACATATCTCCAAAGACCAGACATTGAGTTGATCCCCAACTGATAGCAAGCAACCTTGCAGGGCAGATTAGAATGGCCCCAGTGGCTCGACGATCTTTAGGGGAGCAGAACCTTCAGAGGCTCTTGGTTTCACATTGCTGAGCTCATGGGTTATCAGCCCAATGTGTACCCAGTGCTCTGTGCCACCTGGGCTCCGGGCTAGGCTGGCAAACCTGACTTCACCAGCAGGTTGAACAAGCACTTTGCTTTCACCAGGTTAGGATCAAGATCACTGTGCTCTACAGTAGCACCCTTATTGTCGGGTGTCATCAAGTCAGCTATTGAGTCATAGTGTTCCCATGTGAGAGGGAAACTGCTCAAGAGGCTTTCTTTAGAGGGTTGCACCAGCAGGCCTTGACTCTGGCAGAGTAGTGGGTGGGACTGGAACTGCCATAAAGCTGAACTGATTCCTTAGGGCTGGTGGCTACAGCCACGTATTTCCCCTGTGTCTGCAGGCTCGCATCCTACCCTAGGAGTAAAGGCGGGCTGACATAGGCACTGCACTACATTGAATCAGTATGCCCATTCTAGAAAGGCAATCTTTTGCACGTAGCACCCTCACATTATGGGCACGCTGCTGGTGCAGTGGGTAAGGTGCTTGGCTGCTAACTAAAAAGAAATCAGCGATTTAAACCCACCAACCACACCCTAGAGGAAGCTGTGGCAGGCTGCTTCCATAAAGACTTCATCTCAGAAATCGCATGCGGCAGCTCTACTTTATCCGATGGGGTGATTATGAGTCGGAATCAAGTCATCGGCAGTGTTCTCTGGGGAGGGACAAGCATGCCGTGTGGTCGCTACAAATCACGTTTTGACTCAGGGGAAAGACCATCTGCAAGGTATGCCTCCAGATGTGCCACACACCTGGCTTCCTGGGTGTTGGCAAAGCTTTAAAATCTCTAGACTTATAGCTTCGTCCATCCTCATTATCTCCTATCCCTGTTTCCTTAGTCAGGAATTATTCATCCTCACTAAAAATACCCCTGGCACTTTCACAGTCACTCAGACATGCGCGCATATGCAGAGCAGCACGAGTCCTCCAGCAGAGCTGGAGCAAGTTTGGTTCAGTGGTTGTTAAATACTAGCTCGGTACTCCTCAGGAATGTTACCCGGTAGCAGTCCAAAGTATAACCCACTAAGGCAGCAGGGTTTAGTATATAGAGAATAACAATAACTTGGTCGAGTCCACCTCATTATCTGTCTACACCACACACACACACACACACACACACACACACACACACTTTCCACGTAAAGGATCGAAATGGCAAAGGAATGACTAAATATTTTAATTATGTATCATACACTTTCCCTTTGCATCTACTAGTTTTTATTGACAGGAGATGCACACTGCTTTACAGCCTCTGTGGTTTCCCAGATTTCAATACATGTAAAAGATGATAGCTGCCAATGAGGCCGGTGTACCTCTGTAAAATTAGATCATGAAATGATGAATTATAGCTAATGGCCAAATAAATTTCTGTTATCTTTAAGAATGAGGGGTGATGGCTGCGAGCTGAGGTGAAAATACGAGTACAGCCACGAATATATCCCTCGGTCAATGTTTTATGAGTTTTTCTGTTTTCTTTTTAATATGCTCTAAGAATTAAAAAGAAACAAGACTACAGGCTAGATAGTAGGATTTATTTTGAATAGACCACTATTTACCAAAGCCTATCACAGCAAAGACTGGCTATAGCAGAAAAAAAAATCTTATGAATTTCCCAAATTACCTGAAAACATTTTGCTCTGTCACAAGTAGTTACATGTGATGAAACATTTATGGGGGTCAAAGGCGGTACTCGGCATCCAAGAAGGAGGTGGTCAAGTCTCCACACAGACTCACGTACACAGCAAGCCCCGCACAGGTGCGAAGTCAAAGGCAGTGCGTGAGTGAGTGATCTCCAAGTCCCCCTCCGTGTCTAAGGCCCTGTGACTCACCGGGGCCTCCACCATGTTTGGCTTGCTGTTCCTTAGGGTCTTCACCGCGTGGAAAACATCAATGACATTTTGCCGCTTCACCATTTCAACAACAATGCCGATCGCACAGAACATGCCACTTCGCCCTCCACCATTTCTGAAAGCAGAGGCATTTCAAACAGCAGTATTCAGTGACTGTAGGCTGTCCTATCTGTTTGGGGAAATTTGCATTAGCCTCTCACTTTTGCTTCACGCATATTTGTAAAGGCACCTTAGTTTGGTAGTGGTTAGTGTTTAGCTTCTGAGAGGTCAGGGGTTTGAATGCACCAGTCACGCTGCAAGAGAAAGCCTGCTTCGGTAAAGACTGTAGCTTTGGAAACTTAATGGAGCAGTGGTCCTCTGTCCAGCAGGGTCTCCTGTAGTTGCAACTGACTGGAGAGGGTATGTGTGTGCCTGTGTGGGGAGGGCAGGCATGAAGGGAAGAAAAGCTAACTTCATCCTGGTGGGTTACACATAGTCATATGCTATAAGCAGACATTGCTGCCACCTGGATAACTGCGATGTCAATTTATTTTAAAACTGTAAATCACCACTGCAGTGTAGTGGTGTTCAGCATTGTTTAAACCATATATGTCCTAGAAAATAATTTACATTTAAAAAATGCAAACCTTCATTGATTATAGTTATCAGATAAAAAAATCATTTAAAAATAACAGCTAGAGCTGCCTATGAGATGTGAGTTGGACGGTGCCAGATTAAAGCATAAGCAAGTTAAACTCGGATTTATCAATACCTCGTGAGTAGTTTGTAGAGAACAATCTCACCTTTTTGACACCCCATAGATTCTGTGCCCAGTTAATCTTCTTCATAAGAAAGGAAAGAAAGGAACGGCCTACAAGGACGAAGGGAATGAGCTTGGAAGCTCCGTGAAGGGCGCGGCGAGGCCAACCCCCCATACTCACAGGCAGTGGATGATGGTCCTGCCCTCTCCTTCTTCACACTCCTCCTGCCACTTTTCCACCTGGAGTATCAGCTTCAGAAATGACCGCTTAGAGGCAGGCACTTCCCGGTGAGAAGCCCATCCTAAATACTGAAACTGCTGCACCATCAGATAACCTTCCTGTGGCTGTGGAGAGAAAAATATTTGTTATATAATAAGTTGGGACTTTAATTTTTATTAAAAAATAATGTACCTCAATTTGTATCGGGATATAAGCGGCATTCATATTGGAGTAAGTAGAGCTGATATAAATCCGAAAGACATACATGTCACACAAACATGCCACACATACATGCCACACAGAAACATGCTACCGAATCAAGTAACAGGAGCTACCCTTTAAAAAAATCATTTTATTGGGGGCTCTTACAGCTCTTATCACAATCCATGCATACATCCATAGTGTCAAGTACATTTGTACATAAGTTGCCACATCATCATTTTCAAAACATTTTCTTTATACTTGAGCCCCTGGTATCAGCTTATCCCCCTTCCCCTCATGAACCCTTGATAATTTATCTTTTTTTTTTTCATGTCTTACACTGACCGCTGTCTCCCTTCATCCACTTTTCTGCTGTTCGTCCCCCTGGGAGGGGGTTATATATCGATCATTGTGATCGGTTCCCCTTTTTCTCCCCAGGAGCTACTATCCTTGTATCTGCTGCTCCCTCACACTTAATAGTCGATCATCTATTCCCATGATTATGCTAAATAAATTTCCAATCCATACAGTTATTCATCTCCACTGTCATCACTGAACTGTCTCAGCCATCTTTCATTTGAGTTGTGCTATTAACTACTCTTACTTGATTTCCTTGAATAAGCTTTCATCATCTTCTAATTCAGTCTTATTGATCATTTTGAAATATAAATATGATCATGTTACTGTCCTACCTTATGATCTCTAAATGATCTTAGCATTAAATCCAAATCTGTATCATGGCTTAAAACTTCCATGTGATCCAGCTCCATCTCTTTCACCAACTTTCCCTTCTCTATCACATGGTACTAATGTTTAGATACAGTGACTTAAAAATTATATTGTGGTAAAAAGATATAAAACAGAACATTTACCATCTTAAATTGAACAAGTCAGTGGCTCGTGGCATGGTGTTTGGTCTAAGTTGTTCTTGTGGGCTTGAACAGGTTGGGAAATTGCCTTTTGATTCTTGGTTTGCTGGGTAATTTTTTTATCACTAAAGGTTGCTGGATTTTGTCAGATGCCTTTACTATATCAATTGAGGTGATCATATGATTCTCTTTAGTTCTGTTAACGTGTTGTAATACATTGATTCATTTTCTATTGTTGCACCACCCTTACATTCATGGGATAAATACCACTTAACCATGAACCAAGCACCATCATTCCAAAGGGTAGTATTATTGAAATAATGAATGATTTAATGAATGAAACCCCTAAATCCTCAAATGAAAATATAAAGAAGAGCTTCGGATTTACTCATATAGGTATTAGAACTGATATTTCATACGGCAAAGCCTTGTGTGTCTTTTGGTAAGACTTAGTACAACAGGACTAATTAAGTATACTACCCACTTGTCATTGGTTTGTACTGCATATTAAATGAAGGTAAGAAAACAACAACAACAACATACACTAACAGGGATTAGGACACCAAATATAGAGGAAGCAAAACAAATGAATAAGCAAACAAAATATCAACATAACAAATTTAATACAGATTTCAGTTCCTGTAAATTCTAAATGTATATAAACAACTCAATAAACAGATGGGTCTTACTTTGTTAGTTCAGCAGCTATGGTTTCTCATACAAATATTACTAGAACCATAATGTAACAGATGTGCAAACATAATGAGATTCCATTTAAATTAACATCTAAGATATGCATGAATATTGTGACATGATTGAAATTATTCCTTTTTTCTCTACTGAAATGAGCAATATGATTTTATCCTCTACTTATAGTTATATACTTATATACTTATTAACTAGACACACAGAGCTATTTTGATGAAAAACACTGAGACCTGGCAATCCTAATCACATGTCTAGATGATATGCAAACACAGAGCTGGCGTTGTAAAAACCAGAACAATCTTTCTTTTCAAAAAGAACATAATCTCATGGAAGTGGCTAATGTTTTCTTTTAAATTCTGCTTGCTATTTGGTTATAACATCTCCAAACTTGTTATTACATTATTTGCCTGAAGGAGTGACCTCAAAGTTAATTTGTCATTTCATTAAAAGCATATGAAAAGTCAGGGAGCAAAGAACTCCTGAAAGATACAGTTGCCGTCTTGTTCCCGGGAAAAGGCGCAGTAGTGGCAGCGATGTTTCTCCCTTCAGAGCTGGGCAGAGCCTACGGTTGGGACGTGTAGGAGGATGAAATTGCAGGGAAGGGGAGGCTCATCGGCAGCTGGGATCTACATGTCTCTGGGAGCCAGAGTCCTTTAGGCTATGGACTAATGACTTGGGGCCCTTCTGCACAGTCCTTGCTGACCCACCATATTCCTTCCATCTGACACATAGTCTCTTTGTTGTTGCTGATAATATTATGTTATTGCTTTCCAATAATAACCCCTTTCTTGCTTGAAGGTCAATGCTCATGTAAAAATTCAGTCATTCTTGAAGAGCACATAGTCTCAGGGTCCAAACATACACAATCAAACTAAATTTAATCCATGCACATGAATCTGAATTTTCAGAAGGAATCCACTAGTAACTGAGGGGAAATTCTAACATCCAGTATTCCTGCTTTAACAACACACATTTTATTCCAGAACTAAAGTGTAAGAGATCATTTGCTTTGGAATTGACTCTGTGATGTGTATTGCCACCATTCTCCCATTTTAACCTTACTCCCGTCTTGTTATCAGCTCAACTCTAGGACAAGTAAACAAGGACTTACTCTTGTTAGATTGCATATCCGAAAAATCCGGTTGATGACATCACAATCCATTGAACAAGACATGCATTCCACTTGGATAGGGCCATACCGCAACATCCCTTCTTCAGGCCAATACTGAGGACAGCCCTGTATGATGAATGTTTTGAAAGAAAAGGGAAGTTGGAATTATTGTTTATAATTGGAGCAAAAATCACCTTTTAACCTTTGATAATGACTTTATGAGAGGTGTACAATCCACAAAATATTGCTGATGAGCATTGACCTGGGACAAGTCGACTTCATTCAGCATCACAATGGAGGTGCAGCCATAGTCATACACTAGTCTCCAGAAGTCTTTCACAGTGTTGGGCAGAGGGTACTGGGTTACGATGAAGGCAGCCGGTTGCCTGTAGCTCTGGGAATTAAACAAGGCAAATGGAGAAACATACAAATTTAAAATGCAAGATCAAATTCAATGCACTAATAAGACTTAGAGCTTCCTAGAGATATTGAATTGGATTGCTGTGTAAGCCACGGAACAACACATTTCAATCACTGAAATATGCGAGAACAAAGTAATTAGACAAAAGGGCTAGGTGGCACATTGGGTTAAGCATTGCACGCTAAGCACATGGTCAGCAGGATGAATTTATGGGAGAAAGATTGGGCTTTCTGCTCCAGTAAATATTTATAGCCTCAGAAACCCACAAGTCTGAAATCCTGAACCAAATTTTCACTTTGCTGAGAGGAGCAAATGCAGAGTTAGCACAATAAAGAAATAATAGATAAGCGAGTAGAAATTCAAGAATAAACTGAAGAAATGCTTAAGATTATGAACCTCCACTAGCCGGTTCAGTTTTCCAAAAGTAATCACGTCCGAAAGACAAAATAAGCTCATCCCTTAGTTTATGTGTGCATTTGTCTATTGACAGTTATACGCAATAATTAGCATTTAAGACGGCCATATCTACTCAAGCTCCAAATGCAGAACTATTTCTCACAGGGAAAACAGAGGGGGAGGCTCCACTGAGATTCTGGTTACAATTATTACTGATCAACACATAACCTTGCTTTATGTGCTTCTGTTTACATATATCTTCTTTCTATCTATTCTTTATTCACTAACACTGAACTCACAGATTACCACACTATAATTCATGGCCAAATAAAATTTTATCTGAAACATGTACTCTCTGTAAAGCACACTTTAGCTTTCTTACACTCAGCAACGGGAGCTAGCACCTGAGCACGAGACTTGGGGCCCATTTAAAAAATCACCAGCAAAAATGCAAAACATGTTGCACTAATTAGACTGGAGAAAGGACTTGCATTTACAGTAAGAGATAAAACAAGAAGGCAGGGCATACACAACTATGAAATTATTTGTGGAGATGGGGATAGTAGGTCCAGGCAGAATACAAGGTTCAATATTGATATTGAGAAGATCATCTGGAAATTGAGAAAACTGTGACAGAGATGCCGAAAACAAACATTCAAAGGTATCAATACCATTCCTTATATTATTATGATGCCTTTTCACACACACCCTTTTCTTTTCTTTTCTTTTCTTTTCAAACCGGGGCACAGTGATTAATGAGTGTGGTGCATTTGCTCCATATTGAGTGTTTTCCTTTACACACAACTCAAATGGGAAGGAAAGGTATAATTACAATGCAGTATGACCCCAAAAGGGGTGATTAATGGCTAGGTGAGACTCTGGAAACTGCAATGACGGGAAGCTGCCCATTGAGTTTCTCTTTGACTCTTTTTGGCAGCATTAAAAAAGAATGAGGTAATTGGCTAAAAGACTAGTCTTTAAAGTGGAATGTGGTTTCTCTAAGTTTTCACTACCATACTACTAGTTTATAGAAGCTAAGTTTAGAAGAAATAAGAGGAATCATTTCAAAAGTCTCAATATTAGTTAAAACGAAATGAACTCTGGCTTCTAAGTTCTCCTTTCAGTGGTTCCATCGGTGAAAAGGCAATTAAAGAAACACGGAAGACGTGTTTACCTAATGACGGTAATCAATTGTAAAAAGGATTCTGGGACTCTGAACCTTGATAGTCTTTTAGATTCCGACCCAAGGCAACCAACCAGAGGGGCCAATGATGTAAATGACCATTCTAGCTACAGCCTACTAACATGCTGAGAACATGCTCTCTCATTTATAGTCATTAAAATCAGAATGGGAAGAGTTGGTTGGCTTCTCTATCCTTATATCAATCTAAGTGGGGAAAAAAGATTTAGAGTTACTTACAGTCTCTATTAACTAGTGGTCAATAAAGGAAATTGGAAGTTATCATTTAGAACACTGAATGCCAAAGGCAAAGAAATTTCCCAAATTAACACACCTTCTATAAAATATACCATTTAGTGATTTAGGAAATTCATTCCTAAATGTATTTTTAAAAAGATAAACTACATGATTTTCTTTCCTGAAAAGAAATTAAGATGAAAAATATCACTGAAGATATTTCTTATAGAAAATATAAAAATTCACAGGCCAACTGTATAGCTACATTAAAATATAGCTCCAAAGAACTACTCCTAATCATGCCCCCAAATTATGTATCTTTCAATGGAGACATCCAGCTTTTTTCTTTTTAGGACACTTGTGATTTTCTGGAAAAGAAAAGTAGCCAGCGCTCTGTTGTACCATGTAGCTTTCCATGGTTTCGGGGCACTTTACATGAACAAAGAGGGCGGTCTCTTACATCCATAAGCGCAGCATTGATGTAGTTACTGCTCTCTCCATCAATTGTGATTAGAAAAGGCAGACATCTGTCAGGTGGCAGCATGTCCATGAAACGATTCTTGTCATGATTCCTTGGCAGGCATGCTATGCTGCAGTCTTCCGCCTGTAGTCGAGGGGTGACTGAATTCAAGGTCTGAAAGAAAACCAGAACCCAGGTAAGAGGCAGTGACCCATTTAACAGCACAGTACAGATCCATCAAGTAGTGAGGAGGCCAAGTAGAAAGTGAACGATTTGTGCACAGCAACAATGACATTTACTGCCACAAGGCTGATAGGCTTTGCAGTTAAAACTAAGGAAGCCTGAAAAGTGACAAAGAAATGAAATTCACATTTTTTCGAAGTGTACCTTATTTTTTTTTAAAGGGGGGTGGGGGCCTAATACTATACCCACCTGAAAAAATGTATTATTACATAACAAAGAAAACACTATCTGGGTGCTCCACTACCCTTTAGCCCTTTAGCAAAGTTGGCAAATGCAGCATTGGTCACCACCTTTGGCATGCCAGTTTTGGAGCTATACAATGTCATGAAGGAAAGCGTGGTGGGCCAAGAATTAGACTTATTTGTGTGTCTTCACTTCCCATTCACGTACCTTAGGGAGGTTTTAAATGCACTGGAAACATCTGGGGCAATTTAGAGACCACATTTAGCACTAACTCCAGCTATTATGTTGTTCGTAACATAAAAGGTCAAAATCTGCAACACTGAATTAAAAAAGGCTGCAAATTCCTATAAATCAATACCCAATTTGGTTTTCATTAAACCTTTCCCCTGATCCACTTCCTTGTACCTGAAATTATCTGTCCTTCAAGATATTATAGATATAAACTCATTAATACAAACGTGACCCCATAATATGTATGTATAATGAGAGAGACAGGCATTATATTATTCTTAATGTCGGGTCAGAGGTTATAAAGGTGACTCAAAAGACCTTGCTTGAAAGAATGAGTAGTGCCCAGAACCAATTGCAATCAGCTGCTCAGACATGAGGCCCTCGCACCAGCCAATACCTGGAATTCATCCTTGAGATGTGAAGAGTTGGTCTGGGAGTCTATTCTCATCATATCAAAATATGCAGCTTTAAATTCACAGACGGGAATGGCAGTTTCTCCACATAAGCAGGCTTCTAAAATGGCATCATGAATAAAAATGTACTGTTCCTATCAAAGAGGGAAAAAGAAAATTTTCGTGTGATTTTAATTAAAGCACCTCTGTCATCAAAGGAGAATTATAGACCATTTCAACACATGGGAATATTAATAAAAAATAAAAACGAATCTTTTCTAATATGACTTGATGAACGAAGAAGAATCCATTCTTTTGTTTGATGACAATTGAAAGGCAAATGAAACAAGAAAAAGAAAAAACACTCTTGGTAAAACCGCATACCTCTGTCTGGACCATGTTGATGCGACGAGACCTTAAGGCTTTGACACAATTGTAGATGTCAACAACACCCTCCCTCTCAGCCATATCCAGCATGATGTCAATCACGATATAACAGCCAGTCCGTCCAGCACCAGCACTTAAAAACAAACAAACAAAAAGATACATTATGCTTATGTGACTTTAATTAAAGTCATCTTGACATTCAAATAATGCAACTTGAGACAACAAAATATAAGACACACACAATTTGTACATACTGTGTAACCAAAAGGCACAAACAACTTTGGCATAAACAGGTGGAAATGGCTTTGGTATAAACTAGGGTGTGGAACAAGGATTCCCAATTAGAGTTAACAATTTAAAATCAAATAATTTTAAACAGCGTATACATATTATTCAAGAAAGCTCTAAATTTTTCTTATATAGTCCTTGTTTTATGTAAATTTAATACATATAATTTCTAACTCATAAAATGAATTAAGCAGAGGATCTCTCTTTACATTTAACTCCAATTTGACTTTTATACTCATGTAGCTGTGGGTCCTGTGGCAAAGAGTGAACATGCCGGCTTATTGTCTTAGAGTGAGTCTGGTTAAGTCCCAAGCTTAAGAAAACAGGGCAGAGATGCCAAAATCTTTTCAGTGGGACAGCTGAGGAGCCACCATTCCGGAGAAAGTCCAATGGTGACGGTGGGAAAGGAAAAGGGACCAAAAGGGAGAATGATAGGAGGAAGCAAGTTTGATCACTGATCTGAAAGGAGGTTAAAAAAAAGTTAGGTCAAAATATGACTCTGGGAGATGGCAAAGAGGGCTTCTATCTTATTACATCCAACTCAGAAATTGAATCATAATCTGCAGGCAGGTCTCCTTTTACCGCCTTTTGCAGATGCTGCCCTTTTTTACAAATAGAAGGTTTGTTCATAACCACGTACGAAGCAAAGTTACTGGCATCATGCTTATAACAGTATGTGGTCACATTGTGTCACATTTTGGTAATTCTGACACTATTTCCAAATTTTTATAATGCTACTGTATTATAAAAACATATACTGTACTCAGTAGTTTATCGTATAGTATAAAGATAACTTACATACTGTGTCAGGCTGAGTTGACTACAGAAACGAATTCACAGACACTCATATATGTATAAGAAAGAACTTTATTTTAAAAAAAAACTTTATATACAATAGCAATTAAATATTGAGAAAACATCCCAGCCAAGATCAAGTCCATGAGTTCAATATTAGCCCATATGTCTGATATCAATCTATAAATGCCTCTTCAGACTCATGAAACACATGGAATGATGCTCTATACAGGGAGATCATGGGGCAGTGGGTGATAAGTTTTGTGGATCCAGTAGCAGTAGAAGCATCTCAGCGCTGGCGTGGGTCTCCACGTGGCTCCTCTAGCTCCAGGGCTCTGGTTGCATCAGCTTAGCTCTATCTGGCTCGTCAGTAATGTCTCACAGGAGTGAGCATGTGTCCCAGCTTAGCTCCATCTGGCTCGGCAGTAATGTCTCACAAGGAGTAAGCTTGTGTCCCACCTCCAGCGAGCTATTTATCTCCTTAGCACCTCCAAACGAGGTCATCAAGCAGCAACCTGATTGACAGGTTAGACTCCACCCTTCCACAAATCGACACCAGATTATGTAACTACCTTACACACATGAGTGTCTATGAATTTGACTAATCAACCCAGACTAACACATTATGGTACTTTGGGAGTGGGGTACCAGAGAAATAAACTGTGAAGATTGAGAGTGGATGCTTATTTGACCTCACTACATCATGGTAGTGTTTCTTCTTTGGCTGGCCAGAGGTCAGATGTGGCCATGCAGTTTACTGGGTTGTTTTCTGGTCAGAATATGGGAATTTAAAGTTTTTATTCCTAGACATTGTCTTAGGTTAGTCCTGTGTGAAATTGTGAAAATGATTGTGGTAAATGTGAATCATGCTCTCCAGTGACAAAGTCGCCCCTGGTTTCTCAGAGATCATGCTGCTTCAAGAAAGTGGCTGACTGTGGTACAAATGGCTGACAGAAGGTCTGACCCTGGCTTGAGACAACGCAGCCAGAGGCCTAAGGCAATATTTTATATCACTCAATAGTTAAGATAAGGATTAAGATAAGTTTAGAATCTGATTCTACTTTGTTTATGCTGATTTCTTTTTATTGTTGATATAATGATTGATAGAAAGGATTATTGGGAAGTATGAAAATAGAAAGCTTGTAAGCCTTGCCTTCAGTCATTAAAATCTGAATCTTGTGTGGGTTTATGACACACCTGCAAAGAAGACTCTGAAAAGATAAACCCCACCCAGTGTCTTGAATGCTCAGGAGACTTGAAGGTGAAAACACTTGCCTACAGGGCTGTTGACAGACAGGAAAAAAAAAAGGAACTCTGGTTTTTTAAAATTTCAGAGTAGTGGTTTGTGCCCAAAACTGGAAAAAAATCTTGAGCCCTGAAGAAACTCCTCTCTAGGACTGGGTATTAAAGGCTGAAATGCTTGTTAGGTGACCACCTGGATCCACTTGTTGAGTGGAAGTGGGAAAAATGCAGCAGAAAGAGACGGGTTGAGTTTGCTCACTGACACCTGCGGACCTGGTTCACAGGGACTAGAGGAGAAGATGAGAGCAGGTTGACTGGTCTGAAATTTATGACCTAGCACAAGGGGACGAGGGTTGTTGATAAATTGTGACTGTGCCCACGGTCTAAAGGCGAGGTAACAAATGGGCTCCCAGGTGAGGGAGCCCACATTGAGTTGATCAGAACCTGACCAGATGAAGAGATTTTTGATCTTGTGAACTGGTGCACATTGCTGCTGACTTTATGGATGGCCTATCCTGATTTGACTTTTCTTATGGATGCAGACTTCACAAGGATCCAACTGGAATGAAGATTCTTCACATTAAAGAATATGACTGTCTCCTCAGAGCACTGGGTTGATGTAACTGGGCAGTATAGAAACTGGATACCCCAAATTGGGAGGATAAAGGCATGAAGTGGCTGGCTTATAAACTTTCAAAGGTGGGAGGATATGTTCATAGGATGATGGTGTAGGTGTTCACATAAGTATAGAATGTTTTTGTTTCGTTCACTTAAAGAATATTATATTTTAATGAAGATGGCATATTTTTAATTGTATGCATTTTTGGTTTTATCCTATTAGGTACAGATATGATTTTATTTTTGTTTGAAAATTATATGTGGCTTAAGAGTTGTGTGAAAGTGTCAAGTTGACAAGGGATGGTCTATGGTAGTTACATAATCTGGTGCCAATTTGACTATTAAGAGTGAATGGAGTGGAGGTTAGCCTTTCAATCAGATCACAGCTTGCTGACCTCTGTGGAGGTGCTATGGATGGAGCTCCTGGAGCTGGGACACACACACACTGTGAGACAAGACACACGGAGCTACCCTGATGAAGCCAGAGCCCTGGAGCTGGAGCAGACACATGGAGACCCACGCCAACACTGAGAGGAGTTGCTTCCACTACCCCTGGAGCCACAAGACTTTCCATCCATTGGCTGTGATCTTCCTGCATTCAGCGTCATTGCATGTGTTGCATGAGTCTGAACTATGGGATAATATCAGACTTATGGACTATGAGCTAATATCAGACTTACGGACTTGATCTGGACTGGGATGGGACGTTTTCTTAATCTACAATTGCTTTTTGATATAAAGTTCTCTCTTACACACATATCAGTGTCTCTGGACTTGTTTCCACCCGGACTAACACAAATGTTAAGTCAGTGAAGGTAACAGGATATCGTTTTGATTTCTTTTGGGGTGGGGGTGGGGTTTGGAGGATTCACTTTGCAGTCAGCTTCTTCTTTTGCATAATTCCAGAGATACCTGAGTATAAGCGGAAGAGAGTGCCTGAGAATCTTCGACCATTTCTGAAGCCAGCAGCTCGTAAGAAGGTAAACCTCTGTGATAAGTCAAGTAATGTCTGAACTGAAGCCTATTTATCTCATTTTCTAAACGCTCGGCTGGGCTATTAACATCATTTCTTTGTGGTAGACATTGGGTCACTTCTCGTACATTCACTGCTCATTTAGAAATTTAAGCAAAAGACTTTGCAGCTATCTCACGCGCCTTTTTTCCTCCCACCATCTTCTCAATCACTGTTCCCAGGGTTTGAGACAGGAAAGTAATTGAAGAGTACATCAGATGTCGAGAAGGATTGAACTGAAGTCCTGTCCCCCTCGACTCCCCCTCACCATCCCATCCCGCCTCAGAATAAGCAGCATCTGATACTTATGTGATGTCGTAGGTGTATTTCATTATCTGTTTTCTTTTTACCTTTTTGTATATGGCCATTTAAATTCTGATAGGCTTGACTTTCATGGCAAAAAAAGAAAAAAAGAAAGCTCAAGCACCTATTCTGTAGCATGGAGTAGTAGTACGTGAGAATGACATGTAGCATTTAGGAAAAGCTTTTCAGATTCAGTACTTAGTTTTCTGGTCACATCTCAAAAGGAGGCCATGCAATTTGCTTTAAAATGTCGCTGCTTGTTTTAAGAGAAGTTTCTAATCAGAAGAAAATCTGGAGATAATAGTCACATTCCACCAGCATAAATGCTCAGGATTTCACTGATGTAGTGTTCATCCTCTGATGGGTGGGGTTTGCGTCCTCTGTTTCCCCCCTCCAAAAAAATTCTTAAATCGCTGCTTTGCAGCACAAATTCTTGCAGTTTACGTCAGTTCATAGCTCTAGATGATTCAAATTCAGTTTTAATAGCTAAGATTCTACTGGGAGTTTACTATATTGGCTAAAAACCACTCTTTCAACCTACCTTCTCATGAAATATTGGCTTTTTAGAAGCGATTCTCTGACGCACACATGTAGGAACATAGTCTCTGCACTCACAAATATAGTATACCATCACAGTCTCTGCACTCACAAATATAGTATAGCGTCATAGTCTCTGCACTCACAAATATAGTATAGCGTCATAGTCTCTGCACTCACAAATATAGTATA